GACGATGATTGAAACCGTGGAGCGGTGTACAGTACCTATACAGTCGAGCGACTATACAGTCGTCGTCGAAATATAAATGAATCGATTTCTACCGTTGAGCGGTAGCCGGTTGTCTCGTACGTCGTCGGCAATCGGACGATGTTTGAAGCCGTGGAGCGGCGTATTGTCGTCGGAGTATAGGTAGCACGAGTCTCGTTCGTCGTCGGCAGTCTGACGATGCTTGGTCCGGGTCCTCTTCCATCGAAATTTTTGTTCTGAATAGCTTGTAGACGGTTTGAAGGTTTGAAATGGACTAACTAGATTGTCGAAAGCGTCCGGTATTTATACCCTTTTCGACAATCTTTACCGTTTYCCTTTACTAGGTGTCGTTTTTACCTGTCGGAACGTATGGTTTTGTCCAATTGTCTTTGTTGGTCTTGAGGAAGACCTTTTTAGTTGTTAGTTTATTCCGTAACATATGGTTATAAAACAGTAAGATTTTTATTTATGAACACTTTCTCAAATTGTCAAGTTAATAGTTCAATCTTTTCCTACATTTATTTTCCGTCTCAAAACGTAATAAATAATCTAAAAACGTGAATAAGAAAATGTAATTGAACAATTTTATTGTAATTTTATAATTATTCTAAGAAGGCATTATGGGTTGGCAGTACCAAGTTACAGCAATTCTTACACTTCAGCCAGACTTTGCATACTAAGCTACTTTTTAGTTCTCATACCTACTCACCCAAAATGCAATGTGCAATATTATTAACAATTTATAGTATTAAATAGATGTTTTATATTATAATTTATCTTCACAACTTGACCACACATTAGTATAATATGTTTAAAAAAATACCTGGTAACATACAGGAAAATATCGATTAAATTAATCTATGGATAACAGGCAAATTTAAAATTAGTACTCTTAGATCTTAAAATAAATATTATATTTAAAACAACTATAATCTTCCTGCATAATCGTATTTATGATATGCATTATGCAGCCTAATATAGTATATTGTCTATCTGTAKGATAATATAATATAATAATATATTATGATAAATCATAACAGTGTACGTTCTTGTCTGTTATTGTATATCAAACATAATACTATAACTTTTACCTTTTTCATTCTTCGGGAATGTCTTTAGGTATCCATATTTTTTATATTAAGATAAAAATACATTCAGCTATCCTTAATCCAAMATTTTTAAAATCTTTTCTGGAATATAATTTTTTTCGGGRACTGCTATGGAATTCCGATTTTTGCAATTAGACATTTTTATTATGAAAATACATAAATAGTCCCTCGAATAAAATGTATTTATGTGTTTTGAATTTGTTCACATTAAATTATGGCAGTAATTTTTCTATTAATATCTTGTCATTCAAAATTCAATTGACCACTACAGTTTTTTAGTACTTATATCCGGGAAATGAATTATTAATGTCACATGTAAAAAAATCTTTGTACAAATATTTGAAATTAGAAAAATAAAATTATCAAATCAAATCACTCTAAGATTCAGAATGGAGCTATTAATTTTACAATAATAT